CAAGTGGATCTGCTAAAACTATTAAAACAACAGGTACTTCTCACACAAAATAAACTAGTGTTTCATTTTATCTATCAGTCAATTAACTACCAATTTTGTATATTGCACTGCATTTCTTTGTCATTTAATAAAGCTTTCAATTGATTGTTTTTTCTAAATGAGCATTCAAACTCTAAATACAGATTTTAATATCTCACTTTAGGAGGTCTAGCAGTATAATAAAATATAATAATAATGAAACAATGTGATGTCAGTTTTTTATCTTGTTCCAAATTGTAAACTCATTTAATAAAGAAACTGTAAATAATGTGGATGGGTTGCATCACAGTCAATACCTGTTCTGCGTCATCAAGTCTGATACTAAACAGGTGGATTGCAGCACTGCATCCATAGGTAAAAAGCACTAAAATAATTAGTGTGTTTTTGGGACATTGATTAAAAGTAAGATGAGATCCTTTAAAAATATCAGATTTTCAATAAAAAATTATTGTTGCCAAAAAAGGTATGCTTATGATATTTAGGCAATTGCCATGGAATATCTAAACAATGCTATCAGTTCAATTCATCTTTAACTCTGTATATTGTGAGCTTTGTCTTCAAATGCACAAAACTGGTGAAAAAAGTGTCTGTTATAGTGTGTATTAGGCGCCGCTAAAAAGTAGCCTTCTGCGTCATTCTATGCGTCAAAAGAGATGTTTGTGCTCCCTGACCTGGTAGAAAGTCTCTCTCTTATGAAGTCGCTCATTTGTTTATCTGCTTTGGGATAATAAGTATGATAAAGAGAGATGTGGGACACATTCATGAGATGTACACACAGTAAAACTTCTTCTAGTCACTTGTATTACACTTGTTAGTTGTATTATGACATGACAAGTGTCATCATATTAAAGTGATAAGACATTAACCGACAGTCACATCAGATTCCCACAGTATCAGCAAGTCGACACTATGCACTGATTTATCCTGGTCTAAATGTCTACAGCACTGTACACAAAATAACCCTGACTTTCAGATGTATTTCAGAATTCAAAAATATAATGATAAGTGTCTCAGATTTATAATAATGATGGCCTGGTTACATACAGTAAAAAACAAATCATCCTGTAAATGTCATATTTATGTAAGCTACCACTATTCAAACAATAAGTTCTCTAAATAATTGCAATTACTAAATGTTGGGGAAACCAATAACTATGTATTTTATTAAGTTTGTATTATTACATTACATGTCACTTGTTAGACGCTTTTATCCTAAGCGACTTACATACTCAATACTGTGGGCAATCCCCACAGGAGCAATTTGGGGTGAAGTGTCTTGCCCAGGGACACAACGGCATGCTGACTGCAGTGGGGTTTGAACCTGTGTGACCCCCTGATCCGAACACCAATGCACAACCCACTACACCACACGCCTCCTCCTCGTATGAATCGTAGGATACCCTTTAGTCTTTTTGTTATATTATTTAGTTTGAGCTAGTTGTATTGACAGTAGTTCTGCTTCCTGATGCAGACAAAGTGAAGGTCTTAGCCTTGTAAAAAATAATGTCATTTGTTAGAGATCGCCAACGATATGTCAGTCAGACAAAACATTGGCATCAAATAATCTGTGAGTATGTGTCCTTATTAGTATTAGTTGATTATCTTGCGAAAAATAGCCCAGATACAAGATTGATGTCAGGGACTGTGTTTCACTATTTTGGACTGTGGAGCACAAATGTCAATGTATAATTAGATTTTACCTTAAAATAAAATGTTACAGTGGACGGGTGAAAAAAATTACCAGATAAATCTCTGGTAATAAATGTAAAGACTATACCATTCTTTGAAAAATAACCCAGGATTTATCAAAATAAAAAAACAGAACCCAACCCCTCTTTTTCGGAAGTTCCTATCCTCATATTTTACTACCATTCTTTAGTTTCTATTGCTCTTTGTCTGCCATGGATAGCGATATATAAGTATATATGTATTGCATATTCTTACTTTTGTTTATATACATATTTCATTTTATTAATCTTGTATTAAATGTAATTCTTAGATTACTCTTTTTTTAATGCAAGTTGCAGCTACTATGGCAATTTCTTGATATCTGAACACGTTTTGGTTTCAGCATCTATCCATCTCCATGATAACTGAGCAAACTCTCACAACTCTGAGATGTGGTAAAAAGCCCTACGCAGTTTGAGGAACATTTTCATTAAAAAAATCTTTGTTTCATATGTGTACTATGTGGTATTTATACATATTTGAAAATTATACTTATCAATACCATGACTGACTCCAGATATACTGCTTTGGAAAAACTTAATGAAAAATAAACATCAGTATTTTCCCCCAAAATATGTTTTCAAATGAAAGCTGAAGCCTCAGTTCTTTATCGTTTTGGTCTTACTTTGGTCTTGACTCCTTAGGTCCTCCAGAGTAGATAGAAGTCTGTTGGTGTTGTTGTTATTGCCACAGCAATCATGATACAGTGCCTCCTCCTCCTCCTCCTCCTCCTCCTCCTCCTCCTCCTCCTCCTCCTCCTCCTCCTCCTCCTCTTCCTCCTCTTCATCTGCTGCTCTGGAGGTCTGAGTCCATCAGGTGGTGCTGTCCATCCACTGAACTGCAAGACAAAACAATATCAGAAGGTTGTTCATGATCATTTTTATGATGTATAATGTACAACAACAACAACAACAACAATATGTAACACTAAAAATCAATAAGGCAGAATATAAATGAAACAAGATGAAAATCCAGATCCAAATCGTAATCAATGATAAAATGTAAAATGCATGAATCGTATAAAAAAATATAACTTAAAATGGTCAGTATAAACACAGAATAAATGCAAGACTAAATTAAGTATTGCACAGTTGAAGTATTGCACATTATTACAAGAAACGTTAAAAGGGACACAGTCGACCTGGATACTAAAGCAATAAAATGTAATTATGTGTCATAGATGGGAGAGTCTGTAAATATGAATACTAACATTTTGTTGCTGAATTCACTTGGCACACTTTGTCCACTAGTTTGAATCCAGGGCACAACATTGCCAGAGGGCTGCAGGCTGATAAGCTATATGTTTGTGGTTCATTTCTTCCTACAATGATTCAAAGCAACATACATACACTGCAAAAACCCTGTTTTCCAGAGCCTGCTGCAGAGCTTTAATAATAATAATAATAATTTCAATTTATATAGCGCCTTTCACGAAACCCAAGGACGCTTTACAATGGGAAGTAACAAAACAAAACTAAAAAGTAATAAGTAATAAGCTTTGGTGGAGACATCCTCTTTCTTTAGAAGTGGGATCAAATACATGTCCAGCTTCTGCCACAGTCTCAGAAGGTGGGGAAGCTATTTTAGCCTGCAGTCAGGCCATTAGCCGACAATCATTAGGAGTTTTTCTACACTGTCTCCCACCAAATTGTCCAGGGTAACTACAACTAAAGACTTGTTCATCCTTGTCTCAATTCAGCACCACCTTTACTTACAGTTCAAAGCAAGCTTCATGCCACAAGGTCAGTTGGCATCTTGAGGATTAAGGCCTGAGGCGACGTCTCCATGCTCTTTGGCCCTGGGAATATTTCACATTGCTTTGCAGCCCCAGAAGGTATCCAAAAGGGCCGAGTTTTGTCAACTACATCAATGTCCATGCCAGCTGATATGATGTAACTAAGCATGCATATAGGAAAACCAACTATTATTTAATTATTGATTAAATATTAGCCTTTGAAATGTCAGAAAAATTGTGGGAAATGACTATCTCATATTCTCAAAGACCAATATAATATGTTTTGATGAATATGATTCATTGACGCATTAGAGTGTTATCAAAGCTGGTAAAGGTGCAGCATGTCTGAATCATAGACTGTATATATATGTCTGAATACTATGCTGCAGGGTAGCTTGTGAATTTACTACAGCTTCCAAGTGTAACATCATTAATCCAAATCTGCGATATAACTAAGGGTAGGCTATTGAACAAATGAAGTTAAGTAAAAGTACACTATTTACCTCTGAATTGTAGTGGGGTAGATGAACCAAGTTGCAAAAATGTAAATACTCAAGTAAAGTACAAGTCCTTCAAAATCTCGAGTAAATCTACTTTGTTACTTTACACCACGGAATTTGGTTGAAATGTACCTTATTGAAGCAGTGGCTAAAACCAACCATGACAAAATATAACACAATTTTATGTATAAATAATCCTTGCTAAAAATGTATGCTACTAGCCTAGCATTAGCAGTGACGTTAGATAGTTGTTCCCGCCGTCTGCCTCAAGGCTTTTGGAGTTTGTCTACATCCTAAAGGTAATGCACAGGCTGGACGTCTACACATTGGAAACATTGCTCAATACCTTAAAACGCTTAATAAATCTGCTGAGTGTGATGTTTATATTCAGGAACATAGTCATTTGAGCTACAAACAATGACATTAATTTACAGTGGAGCGTATTTGTTTTCCTCATCAATTTCCTCTCAGTGTGATACATTAAGAAGGCCTTTCAAAACTATTGAAAAGCCTTCTTAATCTTTCATTCATTATTTTGCAACCAAACTGCATGAGAACATGGGAACATGAGAGCATGCTTGGGAACATGAAAGACCCAAATTAAGTATCACACTCATTTCAACCAGAGGAGAAATCAACCCATTTTGCATTGTTACAGATTATTTTAAGGATTATTCCCGTTTACGCATGATTTGGTCAAGTGTGCATTCAGGACAAAACCGGAGTGTACCGGACGATATTCTTTTGTGGGATTACATAACCTTTCCCATTTAAACCAGTTCTCCCATGCAGTACCTGTCTCCCCCCACAGGGTGGCGTCTTGCACCGTGAACTATCTGAATGTTTTATTCTGAGGTTGTTCTTACATGTTGTTCCACGCGGTTGATTCTGTCTCCAATAGTGAAGCACGTTTTCCATCGCAGCATAGTTCATACTTTAAATATAATTCCTTACATCGTTCTTACATGAAAATATAAGGATGCACACACATAATAGTGAGTGGAGGAGCATGCACTTGCAGTAGCAGCATGCGGCTGATCTCCTGCTAGAGGGCGTAGCGTTTCGGTGTGCAGCCTATCCAATGACTGGGCTGCATGTGCCTTCACTCAGCCTTGGAGTAAACACGCTGCCGCCTCCTCAACCAATGAAATAGACGACGTACCAGTTCCTGCTCTTATAAATGTGCAGGGATCACCGACACTTGATACCGGAGAATGAGAGAGACACTAGCGAGATATCACACGACAAGACATTGGACCTCTAAGTCCTCTAGTTTTTATTTCGATTTCATCGTTGTTCCAGGTAATATAACTTATTTCCTCTGTGTGTTCTACTTTCTCTGTGGTGCTCAAACTCAGCGTGTAGGCCTACTCAGTGTAGCCTACCAGACTTTTCATTGTTACAGTTTTAAGACATTGATCTTACCAACCATGTGTATCTAATTATCTCCAGTGGATTCAGCTTTTGATTTAGTTTAGGATGGTATATGTTAAAGTCTTATGTTTATATTAGTGTTTTTTAGTGTAAGTGATGCTGGATACCAACGAGGGAGCCTATGATGTAATGTTGTCTCACCGTGGCAGCCAACTATAGTAACCATGACTACTATAACTATTGGCAACAGGATGTACAGTAAATGTACATTTGTGGCCGAATGTACATTTGTGTTTGTTGCCTTGTAATTACATTTTCCACGAGGCATCCTTTGTGAGCTTTCCTCATTAAATCCAATCGTAATGGTCATGGACATGCGGAGGCAAGTTCTCTTTGTTTCCAAACTAGAGAGGGGGGAAAATACTGGAAATGTGGCTTCTTTTTACATCCTCGGTGTGTTTTTCGTCCCTCCTCCTTTCTGGAAGAGGAGACAATGGTGGTGTTTTTGTTTTTCTGCGCCCAGTTACGCAACATGTGATCCAGAGCTCACCTAGGTCTCACACCGGCTCTCCTCTTCTTATCCTCAGGTGTGTTATAGAAGGAGATAAGATGGCTACGTCCTCAAGCGCCACGTTGAGTAAAACTGTGAAGCAGCAGTACATGGAGCTCCCTCAGGGGGATAAAGTCCAGGCCATGTACATATGGATTGATGGAACAGGAGAGGGGCTCCGCTGCAAAACCAGGACTCTGGATTTTGAGCCAAAAAGCATCGAAGGTAAGCAACACCCTCAATCTTCCATAAACTGTCAACAAATACATATGATTAAGTCCTTCATAATATAACTCATCTGTGCCTTTTCTTGTAGATTTACCCGAGTGGAACTTCGATGGCTCCAGCACCTCCCAGTCTGAGGGCTCCAACAGCGACATGTATCTGATGCCTGCTGCCATGTTCCGGGATCCATTCCGTAAAGACCCCAACAAGCTGGTGCTCTGTGACGTGCTCAAGTACAACCGCAAACCTGCAGGTAACAAGAGTGAAACTCAGGGTCTCTAAAGTTTGAATGAATGGGATATTTTGCAACAGAGTAAAGAAAATATAAACTCTTTTAAAATGATGGTTCCCTCTACAAATTAAATTAAATTGATAGTAAAAGATGCTGTAACTTTAGCAGAAGCTAATTGATTGGTCTGACTACAAAGTGTGCGGGACATTACTTTATAAGGATAGACAAAAAGTACACTTGGATCGAGATGACTTATATATCTTTATTTTTAATATATTGGCTTAAACCAGCATGTAATCTGAACTGAATAGGTCTGCCCTCAAACTATTCAAATACTAAGAGATTTAGGCTGACTTTATTGCATTCCTTAGGAGGGGGGAGCACACAGTTGCATGCTTTGACACAAATTTGCATATGCATGCCTCATTTATTATGTGCATACAAACTGCTGTAGGCATTTTTTTTTTAAAGTAATGGACGGATACTTAAAAGAATCCCTAAATAGAGAGAGAGGACTAACTATAAATGTATTTTAATGTTTTTATTTTCTAAGCAAAAGCTTTATTCATGGTTATGTACATTAACATGATACACAGCTTCTTTGTCAGAATGACGAACAGATGCTAGTGTAGTAAAAATCCACAATTAAATCAGCAATCTTAAAAAAGTAATTTACATAAAGTTTTGCAGTATTTTTGTGGATACTTTTATTAACCTTTTTAGGCATTAATATTCTGGAGATGTCATTGTTTTTTCAGCCAAGATCATATTTAATAAATACTGAAGCAAATCAGTAATTGTTTTCTACCTTCCAAAGGACTACTTGTATAACTTGCCTTGCTATTTAAACGGAAAAACTGGTCTTGATCCGGGAAACTTTATTTTACTGTACCACTGTCAGTCTCCTAATCCGAGTTTATTTATTTCTTGCAGAAACCAACCTTCGTATCACATGCAAAAAGATAATGGAGATGGTGGAGGATCAAATTCCCTGGTTTGGCATGGAGCAGGAGTACACTATTCTGGGCACAGACGGACATCCTTTTGGCTGGCCATCTAATGGTTTCCCTGGACCACAAGGTAAGCAGCCAGTTTGGAGAGTTTGTGCATAGAAACATGAATTTGTCTGGATGTTTTGTTAATAATGAATGCATTTACAGGTCCTTACTACTGTGGTGTTGGAGCTGACAAAGCCTATGGCAGAGATGTAGTGGAAGCCCATTACAGAGCTTGTCTGTATGCTGGAGTCGACATCTGTGGCACAAATGCAGAAGTGATGCCTGCTCAGGTAAAAATGATAAAAGCTTAATCCACGTTTTGCCTTTGCTCATGTGTTTATGAATAACATTCACTTAATAATGCATCATTTATAATAATCAATTTGTGTTTGTGTTCAGTGGGAGTTCCAGGTTGGACCTTGTGAAGGCATCAACATGGGGGATCATCTCTGGGTGGCGCGCTTCATCCTGCACCGTGTCTGTGAAGACTTTGGCGTTGTTGCCTCATTTGACCCCAAGCCCATCCCGGGTAACTGGAACGGTGCTGGCTGCCATACAAACTTTAGCACAAAAGAGATGAGGGAAGAAGGTGGATTAAAGTGAGTGTCAAAAGAGTCATGAAAGTTGACTTTAACCGCTCTGCTTATCTAAACATTTTTTCACATGAATGAATTTCTGATGGGAATTTTGTCATTTCTGCTTTCAGAGCTATTGAAGAATCCATTGAGAAGCTTGGGAAGAGGCACAGCTATCACATCCGTGCCTATGATCCCAAAGGGGGTCTCGACAACGCCCGCCGTCTCACCGGCCACCATGAAACCTCCAACATCCACGAGTTCTCCGCAGGCGTTGCCAACCGTGGCGCCAGCATCCGCATTCCTCGCATGGTCGGCCAGGAGAAGAAGGGCTACTTCGAGGACCGCCGTCCATCTGCCAACTGCGACCCGTACGGAGTGACCGAGGCTCTGATCCGCACCTGTTTGTTGAGCGAGGAGGGAGACGAACCTGCGGAATACTAAACCCACAACTCAGTGACTCACTTCCACTGCCCTCCCTGACATTATCTTTTAAACTAGTACTGTATTTTTTTCTCCCGCTGAAAATTTAACTTTCATGTAATGGCTAAAAGTTGGCTGGTCAACTTAAAATATGACAAGGTAATGATGTCCTTGGTAGTTATGCGCTGGTAATGGCAAGGTATGCCTTTCCCCTGTCTTTAAAAGGGATTGGCTTTTGTAACACTGTTTTCTAGCCCATGTCATATCTTTCCCTTTCTGTTTCTTGGTGACTAAAATGAACTAAAAAGCACATGGACACTGAAGAGTAGCGCTGCTAAGCTGGACAGCATGTGTAACTAAAAGAATCTGAGCTCATGTACTGTTAATATATGTTGACCTGCCTTTTCAAGTATCCAGTCTTACATGTTACTAATTCTTTGATTTATGAAGTGTCTATTTTTAAATGGCAATGTTTTGACACACTGGGTCAACTTGTAAGGTACACTTTGTAGATGTCTGTAGACTCTGTACCCAGATGTTTGTTGTTCAAATGTGGTGGATCTGTCCATAATGCCATTTGTAGATTTCCTCAAGGAGTTTTATCCTTTTGTTAACTGAGATATTGTAATGCACCTGATTTGGTAAAACATCATGTTTACTGGACCTGGTGTTTTTATTGAAACATTTAAAACTTTTATTTTATCACAACATGGCTCTGTGACTCTTGACTAAAAGGTAATGTTTGCCAAATACTTCACTTTACAAGCAATGGAGAAGAGCAATACCACTGATAAATCTAATGCTACAGCTAGCAGCTGGTTGGCTTGGAAAAAAATACTAGAAACAGGGAATCAACACATTCCTCCAGCGAGAGCCAGGCTAGCTGTTTCCCAGTTTAATGCTAAACTGGAGATCAAAGCTTAGGAAGCTCCAAGCTTTTTAAAGACAAGATTTAATAATTGAGCAGACATCCTATAAAACTCTGGGTAGTTCTAACCCTAATTTAATGTAACGGCAAATGTGTACTTGGCCGCATGGAACAGTTGTAGCTGGTTTCTAGTCTAATGCCCAGACTTGAAAAAGCTGTTTAACCATCTGGTGATATACATTTCCTGCCGGCAGTAAACAATAACTCGGTAAAACACCTAAAGGTAACTTAAGTAAAGCCTTTTCTCTTGCCAAATGTTCTGAAGTGTGAGTCAGGCTCATATCTTGGCAGGAGCTCAACAGCAGCTTTGTTCTTGCTGGTGTTTGGGAGCCTGTGGGCCGGAGCTGTAAACTGGTGTACTCATGAGACATTCACTGGAAAAACAGCCCGACTCCAATATTCCCAGAAGTGATGTGTCATAAACTACACAGCACCTCTGACCATTGTGGAGAACAAACCTTTACCTGTCTGGATCCTGTTATTAACCAAACAAACCACATAAGCAAGTTGATATGGCAAAAACACATTTCTTTTAAGTTTAGTTACAGCTGAATGGGACCTTAATTTAGGGGTCAATGTCCACACAAAAATAGGGTGTCAAGACAGAATATATGTAAAATCACATTTCTGACTCATGCAAATACAGGGAACATTTAACTATAACATTATTCAAACATTTCCTAGACAAAGAGCATCTTAGCTGATCCTAAACATACTGTAAGCTCTGTGACCAAGATTAGCAGACATTTGTGCCAGATCAGCTTTATTTAGGTCAAGGAAATGGAGTCAGAATGTCAAAAATAAAACCATAGTAAAGGGATTCTTTGTTACCCTACTGACAGAAAGGTGAGGCTATTCCACCGCACTTCACAAGAACGCATCCTCATTTCACGGGACATAAACATTTGCTTCTGGTGTTCTACCCACACTCGGGGGGAAGGGCAACCAAAAGTTTGCTCTGAGACCTTTCCCCTACATCCCGTCTGCCTCACAACCGCACGTTATTCAGCTCCTGATTGGCTTTGCCGGGAACCTGTTGACCAATCATAAAGTTAAGGGCAGGTTTAATCTTGTTTCAGATTACGTTGGCTGGCCTGAAGCCAACACATGTACTCTAACTTTGTTTTTGTCTGGGTGTTTTGCTTCATAAGCCAAAAATCTGAAACCTCACCACCCCTTAAACTTTGTTATGTGTCCTCCAGGTTCATCACGTTTGTTTGAGTTTGAATCAAGCACCATCATAGCAATGCTTTTATACTTTAAATCGAATACACTTCCAAATCAATCAATGACTACCAAGGGCAAATCTGCAATCTCACTAACTCCCGCTATACACCAAAAACACACTGCTTTACATCCCAGTATTCCCAGTGGCTAAAAGGGACATCATGTTATTTTCCTCAAACTATCCACTCATCCCATCTGTGCATATACTTGTTTGTGTCTCAATGACCATGTGGCTAGTCAAAACATAACCAAAGGCATCCCGTTCTCCCTCTAACAGATTTTCCCATCTAGATATCTGACAGAAAACTGTATGGATCTTTTGTGTTGTGCTCTTACACACAAGTGTTAAATGCCATAGCAGGATGTGTTGAGTTTATAATGACATTCACTCATCGTTTCAACTCTCCTCCACTTCCTCGCTTCGAAGCTCAATCAGGGGGGCTTCAATTTGCATGCACCTTCCGCCTGGGAAGCTCAAACGATGGGGAGACACTGGACAAAGGATGGAGAGGGATGCTGCCCTGTTGCTATGACGACCACCGGAATGTGCAGGCTGGTTCTTGTGGGAGAAAAAAAACCTCATGTTATGTAAGGAGCGGGAAAAAATGAAATGGGGTCTAATAAATAGAGCTGCACAATAAACCCCCTGGCCAAACACAACGTTAAGATGCTAGTCAGTCTGCATGCACTCACACTATGGCACTGTGCAAAAATGCCCTCTAACTTTGTGCAATCGTATACATGTAATTAAAAATAATGACTGATGTTTTGGTAATCTGACGTAAAAATAGCACACCAAGCTGCAAGAAAAGCAGCAAGGAATATCTAACGCTTTTAAAGGTTGCGGCTTTTCTGTCAGTACATGTACAGTTGTATGAGTCTCTTCACTCGTGCTGCGTTGTGTAACAAATCATACTAGTTCAAAGCAGTACTGGCTCTTCTTGCTGCAATGTGCAACAGGGAAGGGATATCTGCTTTAAGGCCATGTGTTGGTAAAGATGAGGGAATAATGTAATGTGCAAAACAGCTTCAAATTATGTTTTTTTGTGAAAAATACTGCATAGGAAAAATAAGAGATAGAGATAGAGAGTATATGTCAGTGGAGGACAAGTTGTTTTATGACTTATTTATCGGCAAGAAGCATGCATAAAGATCAAAAGACAACAGGATGAGTTTGCGTATATCTGAAGTTTTTGAGTTTTGAATTAGCAATAGGGACAAACATGAGCTGTTTTTTTTCCATTTCATCATAACCACATCTTTTTTTTATAGAACAATCTTTTCTTGCACATTCCTCTCCCACACATGTACAAAATATTCACTCTCACGTGCATTTACACACAAAGGGAAGCTGCTCACACATGCTCACGTTAGCCCCCGTAACACATGTGCTACCACAGCACTGTCTACAGGGGCAGAGGATAAGAAGCAGCTGCATGTTTACATCCACGCTGCATTTACACATTCTCAGTTTGGGGTTTTGCACTGATGTTGTGCCCTGACTTGAGGTGTCCTGATTGGCTGAGCACTCTGGTGTGATTGGGCTGATGCTAGATCCTCCAACAGCCACTGAGGCTTACCTGCGCCGTGATTGGTCACGCTATTACAGATGACACAGTGACACACTTTTGAGTGCTGCTGCAGTGCAGACAGTTATCTGCCATTGTTTTTTTTTTCACACAGCACAGATAGTCAGAACTGATTAACGTGTTATTGGCGGTGTAACAGGAAGAATTGTCTGGGGTTAAGCATCTGCTCAGATATACAGTATATAACCCGGAATAATGTTTTAAGCATTAAGACTTATAACCCCTGGCATAAAAATGTGGTGCCATACTTGGCCTACTTAGATTGAAATTCTTTGCACTTGAGTAAACATTCGCTTTGCATCCAGCAATACGAAAATGTTTCTTTGCTTAAAGGATGGTTTATTCACTATCGTACACTGCACGTCAGGGCTTTCTCCCAGAAGTCTCCTGAGGTAAATGAAACTTTATGAGGATTAGGAAAGGTTCATGGTTTGGGTTAAAATACACCATTTCTGGCAGTTCGCACTGAAGGATAAATTCTCCCATGTGCAGAGAAAAAGCGAGTGGTGAATATATAATCAAGCTCTGGCATTTTAGTTCACAAACTGTTCCGGTCACAACAACAGCAAGTTGCTCAGTTTCACCAAAAGCCACACTATGACTTGTTGGCAGGATGAATGGCCAGATGCCAGCACTCATGTGACACCAAACACTCAAGAAGGGCTCCCCTCCCCCCAAAAGACGCCTGCTGATCTATCTGCAGGGGTCGTCTGTTCTCTAACACACAAAACAAAGGGTGACCCGCACACCCCCACAAGTCCACTTTCTGAGAAATGTTCCATTTCCTAATTAAGCATGCCAAACCCATCCGGACCATATCCCAACAGAAGACAAAACATCTCCTTGTACTTTTTGTCCTTTTAGTGTGGCAAATCTAAAACGTTATATACAGTAATATGATGCTTTATTGTTTTATATAGGGACACTGGATTACAGCAGCAGCAGATAGTTCAAATATAAAAGAACAGAAGACACGCAAACAATTTAAATTCACAAAAATCGTTCTGAATATTGGAAATTACAATAATATCCCATATTTGATTAACCCTCCTGTTGTCTTCGGGTCAAATCTGACCGATTTACTACTTTCATCAATCATAACTTTTTTGTTTTACATTTGATTGCATTAAGGCTTTATGATATCCTTCACAGTAGACATTTGAACATATCAAATTGCTGATCACCACTTTCATTGAATTTTGGATGATTTAGTCAACTTTGTAACACCCATGGTGTTCCCAGTCAAAAATGACCGCCATAAAGAAAAGGAATTAGTAACCATCCGGATCAGATAAAACACACACACAAACACACACACACACACACACACACACACACACACACACACACACACACACACCCACACGCATACCATGTATACATCACTTCAGGGGACATTACATTGACTTACATGCATTTCCTGGAGACTTATCCTAACCTTAACCATAACCAACACATGCCTAACCCTAACCCTTAACCTTCCCCTAACCCTAAACCTAACCAAGTCTTCACCCTAAAATTAATGATTCCCCTCATGGGGACCTCCATTTTGTCCCCATAAGGGAGGCGAGTCCCCACATGTGACTGTGTAAACAGATTTAGGTCCCCACAAGTATAGTAATGCTAGGCCACACAGTCACACACACATGCACATACACACACACACACACACACACACACACACACACACACACACACACACACACACATACTCTAGATGTCCCCCCCTTATGTGCCCAATCCCCCCATGTGAATCACACTTGGCACTCACAAACACACACACACACACACACACACACACACACAGAACAATTTGACACATTTCCCACTCTTATGTGCCCATCCCCCCACATGGATCACACATGGCACACGCAATACATGTTCAGTGTCTATTATTTGTATATTTACTGCAGTTGTTCATGTATACCAGTAGTCTGATACAATATTTAAAGTTTGAAAGGGTG